CTCTCTCTGTCTCTCTCTGTCTCTCTCTCTCTCTCTCTCTCTCTCTCTCTCTCTCTCTCTCTCTCCTTGCCTCGCCTTCTCCCTTTCCCTATCCCCACTCTCTAATAACAACACAACTAAAAAAGTTCCCAAAAAACACCCTATCCCATTGAGTTCTTTCCTCTCCAGAGGACGGAAGCCACCAGAGAGGTGGCCAGTGTGACGCCATGTGGAGATGCCGAGATGGTCAACTGCTTGACCTGTGGCGCTGTCCAAGCGGGCTCAGTTTTGACCTGCGCACTCTGACCTGTGTTTCTCAGTCGTCCACCTGTGTCGATAGCGTTATTCGTACGCACATATTGGAAGACTTGATTCCAGATGTTCAAAGCATCATTGGTGGCTCCATTCAGCCCTTTTAGGGGATGTCTAATGGAACACAAGCCCTGAAAGATACAAACACTGACAAAGCAATTACAACACAGACACTAACAATGCTATCAATTATATTGACATACATAAGAACCACTGGCAATAGGTTCAGAACAATATTGACAATCTGATAAATTACAATGACAATACAAGCACCTGCAGATTAATTATTCATATCAACAACTTGATCTAAATATTATGAAGACAATGCAAACTCCCGTAATAAATAAACTGACAACCCAAGCAGTAATAATTACAAGGCGAAATTAAACAAGAAACATGTAACAATAAAAGACTATGCAAAAGTTTAAGGTATCATCAATGAGGAGTACCGTAACATGAAAACGTTATTTTTTTGTCGAGAAAAAGCAAAATAAAGATACAAAAATAACAGAAGGAGAGCCAAGAAGTAGCTAGAACTTACCAGTGGCGCGCCCTCCAATCACTCATGAGGTCTGTCTTACGTTTTCCCTTCTCTAAATAGCTGTCAAAGCATCGATGTTATTCTTATTACTTAAACAGATAAAACAAAGCACCCACAGCACAGACAATTACACAGTTAATGAAGACGTCACACCAGGACTGCCGCAAGTTGTCAGGAACAATGACAAGGGAAATGAAAGCCTTCATGTCAGTGATGTCACTATGAGAGGGAATCCGTTATAATGATTAAATATACTTCTTTGTCATGCATGAATGCAATGTGTATGCCCGTTCATTCGAGTGAACTATTTTACGTAGAACCCCCCCC